TCGCGTCCCAGACCTGGTGGCTTAGAACTCACGCCGGGCGTGTGTGCGTGCGTGCCCAAGATCCCAAGAGGAGGATGGAGGAGAAGGGACTGTGGTGTGACCATCCCTCCTGGGGGGTGATTTCTCGCTTTCTGTCTCTCTGTCTCTCTCTGTCTGTCTGGCGAGCGCACGCGTCCTATAGCGAAAAAAAAACTCTCAAAAAATAAAAAATAAAAAAATAATGACTTCGCCATCAGGAGTGTGCAGTTCCGAGGCTTCCGGGTCTGAGGCTCTGGGCAGAGGCTCTCCTGGGCCTCCTGCCCCACGGGCTGCTCCGTCCGGGATTAATTACAACGAGCACTTCAGGAACCCTCTCGGCCTTGGAGTGAGCGCTGTGAATGCAACTTGTAAAGTTACCTGAGGCCTCTGGGAAGCCCGCCGGGCACGGTCCTTGGAGCATCCTCCCAGCCGCCCTGCTGCCCGGGGTTGTCGCCCTGAGCTTTGGGAACGAGCTGCATCTACCTACGCTGGCGGCTGAGAGCCACGGCACCAAGGCCTTGCCCCAGACCACGTGGGTATAAATGAGGCCCCGAGCTCCTAACCACTAGGCTACTGTCGTACACCCTCCCATCGTGTGGTGCTGCCCCAGGAGACGCCGCTCTCCTCTTTTCAGGAAGAGCTGGTCTGCCCGGGTCTTCAGCTTCCTTCACGTGGGTTGATGATGTGACATTTTAGCATGAGTGACTCCATCCTGTCTGGTCTGTTGAGGCCTGAAGCATGAGCTCCTACAGTTTTTATTTAATATGAAACGTGGCAATAGGCACGTCTCCGAGAGGGCTGCCAGCTGCGCCTTCCCTGCGCAGCACCCCGCCCTCCCTGCCTGCCCCTCGCCCACGCTAACCCAGAACAGGAGGTACGAGCTGGGTTGCCCCCTCCAGGCCCAGCCCTGAGGAGGTGGGCTGTCGCTTGAACCCTCTCAGATCTCAGAGCCACCGTGGAGCAAAGTCGAGGCTCTGCAGCCTGGGGCAGGCCCTGGGGAAGGAGACACCGCGTGGAAGAGAGAACCCACGAGCAGAGGGCTGCGAGGACAGCGCACGTGGAGCCCCCGAGGTGTACAGGAGGCGTCCTGGGGCCTCCCAGTCCTGCTGGAGCCCACAGCATCACAGGGTGCATACACTCTTCCTGTTCGAGCCTCTAAGTCTTCGAGGGGCCGTTAAGCAGCAACAGTGGACAGAACACAGGCCAGGCCCCACGTCTGCCCATGTGCTGTCCCCAGCCCGCACCGCTGATGTGACTGGTCACTGCTGCTTCATCTGCAAGATCCAGCCCAGCCCATTTTCACGGAGGGGAGATGCCAGCACGCCCGTAATCTGCGAGGACCTGGCGTCTGCAGGTTAGTTACAGCGGTTTATGGGTGAGATCCAAAACAGCAAGGCCCAAACACATTATCTCCCTCCCAAAAAGGACAGCCAGCAAAAACACTTGGGACCAGCAGTTGGTGTAATGGCTATGTCACTGGACTCTCATGTAGTCGACTCCGGTTCGAGTCCCAGACCTGGTGGCTTAAACTCACGCTAGGTGCATGTGCGTGCATGCCCAAGATCCCAAGAGGAGAACAGAGGAGAAGGGATTGTGGCGTGGCCATCCCCCTGGGTGGTAGTTTCTTGCTTTCTGTCTCTCTCTGTCTGTCTGGCGAGTGCACACACCCTATAGAAAATCTCTCTCTTTAAAAAAGGAAAGAGAGTAAAGAGGCTTAGCCAAGAGCACCACTGGAAGCAGGCGGCCGACCAGCAGAGGGAGGGGCGTACGCACAGAGGACGAGCACCTGCCATGAGACAGCCGGGCACACGGGGCACACACGTCGCTTCCTCCATCCCTGACACTCGGACTGTGGTCCTCACATCAGAACCATTAGCGTAACCTGGAAGCTTGTTAAAGATGCAGAACTGCAGCACCTGCAGCATCACGGTTTGCATTTGAGCGACTACCCGGGTGATCTCCCGCATGTCAATATGAGGGGCGGATCCTGACCAGGGTGTGCAATGTGCGTTTCAAAGGCCTGTTGATGCCTGGGCCCCAGCCCCAGAGCTCTGCTCCAACAGCTCCAGGCACCTGCAGCTCCAAGAGGACTCTCGTGTGTGGCCACGATGGCCAGCCACGACACCTGGCTATCCGAGGGGGACAGCTGGTCTCACGGTCACTCCTGCGTCAGACCCAGGCTGCAACCTCTTACCTCCCCCACAGGAAATGCACACGGGGCTTCGGCCTGCTCGAGCAGCCCTCACCCCATTCTCCTCGGGTCAGCTGAGTCTGTGGGAGTCTGACGTTTTGGGGCTGGTGCAGGTTACGGCGCAGGACGGTGGAGCCCATGACCTAGAACCGAAGGCCACCACCTCTGCCTTTCAGCACCCCCCGGAAACTTCCCGTGGGGCCCCTACTCCACTGGCCCTGTGCACTGCTCCTCTGACCCCTCAGCTCCACCCTCGAGCACGTGTCTGAGGTCCCCCCAACGCCTCTGAGGTCCCTCTCCACGCGTGTCTGAGGTCCCCCTCCACGCGTGTTTGAGGTCCCCCTCCATGTGGCTGAGGTCCCCCTCCATGTGGCTGAGGCCCCCCTCCACGTGGCTGAGGTCCCCCTCCATGTACACATCCGTAGGTCGTGGTGTGGAGCCTCTTGCATGTCTCTGAGATCCCCCTCCACGTGGCTGAGGTCCCCCTCCATGTGGCTGAGGTCCTCCTCCATGTGGCTGAGGTTCCCCTCCATGCGTGTCTGAGGTCCCCTTCCACACGTGGCTGAGGTCCCCCTCCATGTGGCTGAGGTCCCCCTCCACGTGGCTGAGGTCCCCCTCCACGTACACATCCGTAGGTCGTGGTGTGGAGCCAGCTGCTTTCCTCCCTCCCGGATCCTCTGACGTCCTTGCAGACGATTCATTGCAGTAACTCCCCAGATAATCTACTCTGGGGAGAAAGTGTGCCGCTTTCTTGGGAGTCAGAAGTGGCCGTCGTGAATGATGCTTTAAATAATAGGAATAAAGCATACCGGGCCAGCGCGTGGCCTGGAGGTTAAGGCATTTGGAGTCCACACGGCCAGCCACGTGGACCCAGTGGCTGAAGAAATAGACCAGCATATATGTGTGCACTCCTGAAGTCCTACACAGAGGGGGAGGCGGAGGGGAGGGGCTCGCAGGGTGACCCTTCCCCGTGAGAGAGGATTTCTCCCTGTCTCTTGCTCTCTGTTGCTGTCTCTGGTGACACATGTACCTTTTAGAAAAAAATTTTTAAATGATAATAATGTAATTCCTTTCTTGCTTTATAGATTTCCAAACTCTTTTAGAATCCATGCCTAAGAACCCAGAAACCATTTAAATGTTGATAAACTTCTTTCTTTCAAGTCAAAGTATTTGCAAGGCGAAAACGTGACCCAGGCAGAGAGCAGACACGCAGAAGGGGACGTGGCGTCACTTCTCACTGTCATGTAGTGTCTAACGGCCAAGAAGGGCGAGACCGACAGCTGTTTTTAAACCGGCAGACTGAAAATGGACGCCTGTTTATATCACAGAAGCCGAACTTCCCTGCATACGCAGAGATGCTGAGTGCTCAGGATCACTGACAGGTTAAACTCCGCTGAGGTCCGCTGTTTTCTGACCCACTGTGTAAGAGTCTGAAAGGTGCCCCTGTCCCAGCAAGTAAACAGCTGCATAACTGAAAGCCAGCAGCCCTTCGCAGCCCTGTCAGAGAACTGAGGTCGTAAGAGAAGCCGCCGTTCCCAACACGGCGAGACGGACAGGCGGACAATCCCAGTTTACCCAGGCAGACACAGGGACGTGGCCCTAGGTTCTTCACGTCTGACTTTCAACAGAAGGTGGCGAGGTATACTAAAAGACAAAGAACACTTTGAGAAGACAGAGTAGCCGTCAGACCACACTCAGAGATGACAGGACGTTGGGCCTGTCGATCTGGGAATTTAACGTAACTGCGGCTAACACACCCGCGGCTGTGCTGGGGAAGCAAGCCTAAGGACAGACAGGGCATACAAGCAGAG